AAAAGAACTAGGCATACAAATAGCAAAGGAGGATTGATCATCTATGTGGGTGACACACAAGCTCAACAAATTGAAGAGAACTTACTTGGGGAAAATTGAATTTGTGTGTTTCTTAGACCTTAAAAGCAAGGAATGTGGGTGACAACAGCAGGAAACGAAATGAATGCCACCCATTCAAAAAATCTATGGGTAGGCAATAAAATTCAAATATACTGGGACAATACATGTCTAACACTAAGAAAAAAGCTAGACTGTGAAATCCCTGTAGATGCCTTGGTGCTGTATCTTGGAGTAATTAAAGTATTGCTCATTGTAGGTTGCAAAAAAAAAAATAGCAAAACTGGTATATAAAGGGAAATCTTTATGAGAAGATAACTTTCTTGCAAATGTTTGAAGGAGACGCCTTTTCATAAAAGTGGAAGAAATGGATCTCCTTCATGTGTCATGGTCTAACAGTATTCAGCTGTCTCTGAATGATCAAATGATATGATCTGAAACATTTCCATTGAAAACAGCAGTTCCATTTTATTTTACAGAGAGCTGATACATCATTTACTTGAGGTTATAAATGAGTTACTAAGACCTGCAGGTGCATCCTGAAGAAACAGAAGCACAGAGAGGTGATGCTTCACTAACTGAGTGTGAAGATTCATTTGCAGGTTTACAACCAACATTTTAAACCAGTGACACTTGCCCTCTCTCATGCTCAGGAAGTAATGTTAAATGATGCTCTCTAGTGGTCAAATATTACATAGCGTGTATTTCAGAATATACTTATGTTTTTATTATGAGAAGAAGACATTTAAAAAGTGGTGTGCTTATGAGTGTTTTTTTTTTCCTATATGTGCCCCTCTCTAAATTTAAGAGTTCATTTTAATTGTTTTAAATTTATGTTACTAACAAAACAGTGACACAATTTATTATTTATTGACAAGAAAAGACATTTATTTTAACCAATGCTTTTATTAATTTATTGCAAAACATGAATTCCTGAAAATACTTGTTAACAATCTGCAGATGAATACATGACTTAAACCTTTTGCTTTATTCTGATTTCTAACATGTAAAGACTGTAATGAGCAAACAGCACAAGCAGTAAAGAAGCAGATTTTAAATGCACATTCTGGTCCTCGACTATTCAGTGGGACATTCTGACTTCTTGATGGTTTTCTCTGAAGTCTGTGAGCCCAAAGACACTTTACATGTATAAACCTTATCCATGTTCCAGTCTGATGTCTGGATGGTCAGAGAGCTGCTGATTTGGTAAGTCTGGTCTGGTCTCTGAACAGCAGTGCTGGTAGAGATCTCACTGCTCACTGGACTCCCAGCAGCCAACCAGCTCACATCTTCAAAAGGCACAGACTGACTGGACAGACAGACCAGAGAAGCTGTGTTGGACTGGAGCTCAGCACTGGACGGAGGGAAGACTGTCAGGACAGGAGGAGGGAGGCTGGAGCCTGAAAATACATGAAGGACAAACAAAAAAAGAGAAATGAAAGGAAAGAAGGAAATTGGAAATGAAGTCATAAAACCAGAAGAAATCAAGAAGAGTCAATATGGAATAAACATAACATTTGTTATGAAGTTAGAAGAAAACAAAACTAATGTACAATACCAAAATATATGGATCCAACATATTGTTTGAATTTCTTTTTATATTTTTACCAAATAAAATATGATTAGTTACTGTTTAACTTTCCATGTAAGATATCTTTGATTTAATTCTACAGGTTTCTGCATAACATGTCAGTTACTGTGAGGAATTTTCTTTCATGTCAAAGTAAAGTGTACGGCCAGGCTCTAATCACTTCAAATTTTGAACTTTAGTAACAGTGTTAGCAGCTATTGAAGAAAGAGAAAACAGGCCTTTGTATGTTTTAGAAATGCCAACCTAAACATAAATTAAAAGCAATAAGAACGGAAAAACAACATATTTCACATCCTTTTTATAGAACTGGTTTGACCCCATGTCACATTTTTTAAACATAAGTAATTCATGTCTCCTGTATATGAGACAACCTGAAACTATTTCAGATTGTACAAAATCATAAAAAATGATGCTGAACAAGAAACATATTGAATTAAGTAGTCATCAGCAGATTTTTGCAAACTCTCTCTTGTTTTATGATCAGTTAAAAAGTACTTACTTGTCACAATCAGCTTGGTGCCTTGTCCGAATACCACAGTGATTCAGTTTGTATACATGGCTGTACAAAAACCTCCTGACTGTCACTGATGAGGGGAGAGGAACTGAAACATCCTGTAGAGACCAACTTTCACTGTCAACATCTCATTCACTTCATCAATCTGTTTGTATTTTATAATTGTCTCTCTGTGCAGTCATGTTTGTTCTTTCATGTCACTTGTTTTGCGCAAGATTTAATAAAGTCCTCATTATTGGCCAGCATTAATCAGAGCTGTACTGTCTCTCAATAAGATTTTGGCCACAGTCTGCTTCACTATGAACCAGCTTTCTTGGGAGAGTCTTCCCATGTCTAACAGGAACTCACTGCAGAGTCTCCTGTCTCTGAATGATTGATAATAGACTTGAAATCAGTGTTTGGTCAGGATTTAGATATTAATCTGTCTGAGGAGAATCCTGCTGAAAAGGCAGGTGAGCTGTGAGAATGATGAAATCTCAGAACTGAGGAGAAGAACCAGGAACCTGCTTGTACCAGCTGAAATAAAAGCTTTCAGCCTTTTTAATGTTGTATTTGAGCAGGTTAAAGGAAAAAAATTTTTTTTAAAAATGAGCATTCCAATGTTTAATAAGATGATGATGAGGACGTAGAGTTGAATCTTTCTGAGGAGAATCTTGTTTCAAAGCTGGGTGAATTTTCAGAATGGAGAAATCTTGGAACATACAGAACTTGTTTATACCAGCTAACAAAATTCATATCATCTCTCTCAATGTTGCAGTTGAGAACAGCTAGTTGAAAACTTTGTACTTAAGTACAGTAAGTAAGTATTTCTACCCGGTTACTTCCCACCTCTGGGGACAGAGAACCTGTTCCAACGCCAAGTGAGCTGCCAGAATGACAAAACTGAGGAACCCCTCCTTCTTTTTTAGACCATCTCACATAATTCAACCACGTTGCAGCTGAGAACAACTTCTTGACCTGGAGAAACCTTGTGGACAGCAGGTATCTGGATAAACACTTCTGCAGCATTAACATGTGCCAACAAACACAGAAAGAACATGAGTGAAATGTCTTTCTCCAAAAACATGGGCTATGAAAGAGATGAGAAGAACGTCTTACATTTTAGAGAAGTGATGAGAGAGCAGACAGTCCCCAGCATGTTGTCAGTGTGAGGTGTAAACATCCTTAACTATTCAGTTGAGTTGTGAAAAGAATTGTAGTGAGAAGCAAGCACCAGATAAAATTTAATTTTGCTGCATTTTCACTTGAAACATTTTTGAACTTTAACAGTATCTATTTAGTTTGATTAATGTGATTTACTGCAGCTGGGATGTTACAGTTATCAGAATTTTAGACAATCATTTATCAAATTGCTGTTATTTAAAAACGTGCACATCATTGTGTACAGTTGGTGGAATATGATGACCACCAACAACACAAGTTGTTGGTGGTCATCATATTCCTTGATATTTTATATACTCATTTTATATATCAGTGATGATTGCTTAAATGCATCAAAAAGAGTAATTCCGTGTTTCTTAAAAACACTCTAAAGTTGGTGGGTTTTCATTGATGAACATTAAAATAAACACACTATTTGAAGGTGGTGGGTTTACACTGAGTCTGTTGAATGGGTCTTTTGTTAGCATGTGGAAAAAAAGAGCATCAAAAAGCAGAAGTATCAGTGAGGAGGTTTTTGTCCCAGTGTAAATCACTGTGATGCGTATTCACTAACAGAGCTGTCCCATGTCTTACAGTAATAAACTGCAGAGTCTCCCTCCTCCACATTTTTGATGATCAAACGATAATCTTTTGTTGACTGATGAGTGGATGTGAATTTTGGAGCAGAGAACCCAGAACCATAACTTGGAGAACTATCGCCATGATAAAAAATACAGCACAAACTGAGGAACTCCTCCTGGAATCTGTTTATACCAATAGACAGTGTTATCAACAGTCCCCAGGTTACAGTCCATGGTGGCTGTCTCTCCTTTCCTCACTGATAAAACAGGAGGTTTCTGTGTCACCACCGTCAAACCACTCACACCTGCAAACAATAAGACATGGAGTCAAGAGAAACACAAGAACATATGAATCCTACAAATAACTACTGATCTGAAATATAAATGAGGTTCCATACATGTTAGAGCAGTGATGAGAGCACAGAGAGTCACCAGCATGTTGTCACTGTGTGTTGAGACTTGGAACTTGGAAAGCAATAGCATTGCTTCTGTAGGAGGAGAGGAGGTGTGAACCATTAAATATGACACTGAAACTCAGAGAGACTGACAGGAGGAGGTGCTAAACCTGGATAATTTGTGATGTTTTGGGTAACTTAACTAGAGGGTAATTCTGCTTTTGTATTAATAATTGTTGGTGATAGTGATGTCTCCCTCCTCTCCCCTAAAATTGTGGTGTTATATTTTATTATCATAAGTATCATAAATAACTATGTCCTTCCGATTTATTATTGATTCTTTAACCATTACCAGTTTTTATATTTATATTTGGACAAAAACAGAGCAGAACCCCACTAACTGTTATAATTAGTCAACAAACAAAATGCATAACCTGCATTGTGGTTCGGGTTAGGTGAACATTTTATAAAATATTACATCATTAATGAATACTGAACAACTGAACAAAGAGTTCAAATACAGATCACATTGATACAAACATTTTGATATAGTTCAAATACCAGTTTCTCTCATCTATATTATATTTTATTATTATAAGTTATTATAAGTTGGTTTCTATGTTCTTAAGATTTATTATTGATGCTTTAACCATTACCAGTTTTTATAATTGGACAAAAACAGAGCAGAACCCCATTAACTGTTACAATTAATTGTTATAATTAGTCAACAAACAAAATGCATAACCTTTTGTGTAAAGTCACATGAAACCGGAGTGGTTAGGGTTAGGAGAACATTTTATAAAATGTTATGTCATTAATGAATATTGAACAACTGAACAAAGAGTTCAAATACAGATCACTGTGATACAAACGATTCACAAAAACAAAGTTTCTCTCATCTACATCTTGAGAGTTAAACAATCTGATTATCACTGTGACACATATTATTGCAAACTGATGAAACTGAGCACCACTGTTACTAACACTCAGGATGTAACTCTTCTAATCCTGGTGCACAATGCTGGTGGTGAATATCTGTTTGCACACAGGTGTGTACAAAAAAGTACTCACATTTCTTGGGTGACTGCTGCCTCTAAACATATCGGTCTTGTGTGCCGCTCAGTAACATTCAGTATTTATTATTTACTGTTACTTATGCTTATGTTGATTGTTGCTGTGGTTTCCATACTGTGTTGTTCTCTTTTTGCTTGTTTTTTTTCCAGCAGGTGATCAAACAGATTTTTAGTGTCTTTTCTCTCTGTCTCTCTGTTTTTCTTTACATCTCCTTCTCTTGAGCCTCTTCCCAACTTCTCTTTTCTTCGTCTTTCCTATCCCCAGGTTCTGTCCATTTAGATTGTAATAACTTAAAATTAAAAAAATAAATCAATACATAAATAATAAATATCAAACAAACTGTGACAATCAAGTGAACCATTATGGCAAAAGCTGTAATGATCAGCTTGCAAAAAATAAATCTGTTGGACATTTTCCTTGGCCTTGAGACAATAATTCTGATTGCAACAGTGCCAGGCAGGACATACGAAAAAAAAAAAAAAAAAAAAAAAGAGTTGAGTCTGATTTCCATTAAAGTTATATTACCTATAGATAACAGCATACGGTATTGGTCTCCTGTTTTGTATATCATTATTTGAGTAGTTTTGACTGAATAGTCCCCTCTTGGCTTTTGTCATGATTTTCCTGATTAATATAAAAAAAAACAAAAAAAAAAAAAAACAAATAACACAGTATTTGAAGGTGGTGGGGTTTCAGTGAGTTGTTGGAGGAGTCTTATTAGGATGCCAAAAAGCTTAAAAAAGCAGAAGTATCTGTGTGGAGGTTTTTGTCACAGAGTAAATCACTGTGATACCCCACTGCTAGCAGAGTCATCCCATGTCTTACAGTAATAGACTGCAGAGTCTCCCTCCTCCACATTCTTGATGATCAAACGATAATCTGTTGTTGACTGATGAGTGGATGTGAATTTTGGAGAGGAGAACCCAGAGCCATAGCTTGGAGAACTCCAGCCATGATAAAACCTCAGTACATGCTGAGGAACTCCTCCTGGAATCTGTTTATACCAATAAGCAGGATAGTTATCAACAGTCCCCAGGTTACAGTCCATGGTGGCTGTCTCTCCTTTCCTCACTGATAAAACAGGAGGTTTCTGTGTCAGTACCGTCACACCACTCACACCTGCAAATAATAAAAAGACATGGAGTCAAGAGAAACACACTGACATTTAAATGTAACATGAAGTCTTTTCTTCAGTATATTTTAGACTCTTTACATGTTAGAGCAGTGATGAGAGCACAGAGAGTCACCAGCATGTTGTCACTGTGTGTTGAGAATGGATTTGTAATTTGGAAAGAGATTAGACTCCTTCTGTAGAGGAGAGGAGGTGTGAACCATTAAATATGTCACTGAAACTCAGAGAGACTGACAGGAGGAGGAGCACTGGATTCCCCCCTTTCTCTAAGCTGTATTATTAACATTATTTTCATGAACACTGATGTTGGTAATGTCTTGTTTTTTTCTTCTTTTTTCCCCTTTGTTCATTTATTTATTGTTTGTTCATTTGATTGTTATTTTGAATTTTATAATGGTTACTATCTCCACATCTAAAGTGAGGCAGGATTATAGTTGGTTATATTTTACTTAAACTTGTGTTTTATTCAAAAAATACGCCAAGATATAAAATTTGCTAAATTTGAATTCATCACCATCTAGAGAACACTGTTAGATATTTTTAATGATGCTGAGGTTCTTGTATATTTACCTCACTAAACGTTATGTTAGTGACTACTTTCACACTAACTTGATCAGACTGCTTTTGCAGCTTTTCTCCCAGCACAGCTCTCTCCTCCAGTCCGAGTCACCTCCTGGTAGAGGGAGAGCCTCCTTAG